CTGTCAATAATTGTGTCCATGTCAGAATAAACTCTTTAAAAAGTGAATTGCCTAGTAAGGCCCTCAATTCTTTCAGACCTTTGAGCCTGACTATACCTCGGTATGACTATACCTCTATGTGGCTATACTGCAATAGCTGTAACCAAAGCTGTGCTATCATGGAAGAGATCAGGAGAATATATCCTAAACTGGCACAGCTCAAAGGGGTTTTAGAACATGATTGGCCAAATCTCTTCATTTTACAGCTGAGGAAACTGAGGGCTAGAAAGGTCATAGAGCCCTCTCAAGGTCATGCCACTAGCTAAATTCCAGATCCCAGGTCTCCTGCCTTTTAGGCCAAAGCCTCTTTGTTTAAAGCAAACCTGCAGAATAGTGTCAAGATGGCCAAGCAGGGAGATAGTGCCATCCATCTTAAAAATCATTCTGGCTTCTGCCAGCTGATGAAGGAAATAAAGTTAATGATGCCCACATAAATGTGATGTTGTTGCAAGATACACACATAGGCAGCCTGGAAGGGAGCTTTGTAGGTCCTCTGAAGGAGGAAAAAATATTTTAATATACCTTTAAAGGGAGCAGTGTCCACCCTTTCTGCAAGGACGGGGACTGTGGCATCTGTCCATGCAGAGTGCTTAGTTTTGGACTGGACACAGAAGCCTATGATAAACAAGTTCCTGGTGAAGAAATGAAGGCAGTGTCACCACTGAAGCCAATTCATCCTGAAACTTTGTAAGTGTGGGCCCCTTCCTTTGACAAAGATCTCATCAGGGGCTGGAGACAATGTAGAAGTGTCTGATTTAGTCATTTGAGTTGATTGGTAAAAAAACTGAGTCCCCAATAGAGAAGGAGAGTTGTTATGGCCATGCTATGGGATAGAAGCAGGGTGGACTCTAGAGGCAGCAGTTCTGAAATCATAGCCCAGCTTCTCTTTCCACTGCATCACATGGCCATAACCTCTTTCTTAAGGCAATCTAAAGAAAACAATTTCCTAAATATCCTCTGCTTAGGTCATTATAAATTTGGCAAATATGCAGAAGTCATGTGCTGATTCATAACTCCATTTACCAGCCTAGGTTCCCTGTCCAACCTGTCCTTCAGGAGCAAAAACATGACATTTTATTTTCTCTTTCTTAAGGTTTCTAAGACCAAAATGGTAGTAGATTAATTGACAATTTGACGCTAATACAAACTTGCGTCAAATTGAAGTGCCCAAGGCACTTCATTTCTTGGGGAAAAGTCCTTGACCCATTTCAGAACCCCCTAGACATGTTCTGCAGTGCCAAAATGCAGCAGGTAAGATTCAAAGTAGGTACAACCCTCCTTCCAGAAGGAAAAGATCAAGACAGTCATCTGCCCTTCTTGACAAGCTTGGAGATGGAGAAGCCACAGGGGCCACTTCAAGGAAAAGCCCATTTACCTTTCAACTGGGTAGGTTTTTTTTTTTTTTTGGATTGAGATATGAAACAATGTATTTGTCATTTTCCTTTTGATCCTAATGTGGATAGAAACATCTTCCCTTCAAGGTTTTGATGACCTTTGTTAGCAGTTGAGTGGCATATTCAGTACAAAACCCAGTGCAAGGAAGCACCTACTGGGATGGAAGATGGAGGTAGCACATTAAAGGAAAGCTGATCATCTTTTGGGAGAACCACCCAGGGATTAGATCTGGTTTATCTCCCTGCTTTTACTCCTTTCTCAAGCACATATTATGTCCCCTTTTACTTCATCAGGGTACTTTGTGTATTTCATGAGGGGCATTTTCTCAAGGAAGCTAAACTTTCCTCTTCATTATAGTTAGCACATTGGAGCAGCTGATTAAAAATTTGGTCACTCTGTACTGTGCTTTGAAGCCTTGGACAATTTTGTCTCCCCTCTGCCAAGGATGTATATTTGGCAATGTCTGGAGACATTTTCTGATGGTCGTGACTCAGGAAGGGAGTGCTAAAAGCACCAGGGATGTTGCTAAACATCCCGCAATGCCCAGAACAACTTCCATAACAAAGAATTACCCAGTTCAAAGTGTCAGTAGTGCGGAGCTTGAGAAACATGGGTCTGTTTGAGTTGCCCAGAAGGCAAGAGAATTTTGGGGTAACATTGGGTCAGTCTTAGCCATAAGTCTCTGTTAGGGATCTGGGGATCAAAGCCAAATTGCCTTTGGCTTGAAAGGATGTTTGAAAGAAACATGCTTCTACCATTAAAAACAAAATTGCCTACTATTTTTGACCAGTCTTCATATAAGGGCCATTTTCAACTGAAAATAAAGGAAAACATTTAGGTTCTTGACTCTCAGAATGTCACTTACAGAATTTTAGAAGCCTAGGTTTTTAAAATGTTGGATCATGAACTTCGGCCAAATCACCTGATCTTATAAAGACACAGTTGATGAGCACGCAATACTTTTTGTCTTGCAGGACCCCGTGTCTCCCTTTCTGAGGCCTCTGTTCCTCCTCTACATTGGTACCATATGGGATTTCTGCCTCATTCACTCGATTGTTGTTTTTGTTTGTTTGTTTTGCTGTTGTTATTGCCATTTCACTGGTTATGTGCTGATGCAGCTCACGTCTGTTATTGAGAGCCTTTTCTAGTCCCTGATTTCCCCAACAAGGTGAGCAGCTGTCGTCATTTATTCTAAGGAGTATCTGGGTGCCTGAGATGATTGGATTGGCCATTCCAACATAATGCCCATCCCTTGGGGAAGAAGGGGTTATTCACATGGAACCTGCTAGAGAGCTGCCAGCCTCCATTTACCCGCACATACATTCTAGTAAGTCCCCACATTCTAATGCTTCTGTATTTTCACCTCGAATTTTAAAAATGAGTGAGTTAGAAATGAAAATACCAATTGAACAAATATAATCTACTCACTTTACTTCCTTGTGATCTTTTTTAATCTTACTGAAAAATTGCTGAATTTCCTCAGTTCAATCATTATTTGCATTATGTTTTAAAACTGAATATTTACTCTCCTAATGAAGTAGCCATTCCTATATTTTGAAAGTGCAGTGGTACCACCACCTTTCCAGCTCTCCGTAGTTATAACTCTTCTTTCCTTATAAACACATGGAATTATATCCCACGTCCATTGTAGCTCATGTGTGTGTTCACACACATAGGGGAAGGAGATGTAGAATTATGTTTCCTGATAGGCCACCACCAGCTTAGTTGAAGAATTAACACAGTGGATTCATAACCTTATCAAAATGACTATAATGCAGACCTTTTAGATTGAGTCTCCCTTTTGTGAAAGACAGTGTCTGGGAGAGGCAAATCAAGTATTGCATACTGTTCATCAAGAAAAAAAGAGGGAGTGTGTGTGGGGAGGGGAGAAAGATGTGCTTGGTCCTATTAATTTGCTCTTTAATCTCTCTGGTTCAGTTCTGTCTCCTGTAAACCAAACAGAGAATCAATTTGCATACAAATGTTACAAAGTGCCCAACCTCCATACATTTTGTAGTTCTATTAAATATTCAGGGGAGAAAAGATCTAATATTATTAATACAATACTTCCTGACCTTTCCCCCATAATGTAGCCACGTTTTGATACATTTCATAAGGCCCTGGGTTGTTGTGCTTTTTCCTTCCATCTGACTCTCTATGTGCATTCTGATCTGTGGTCAGGACTCTGCGGCCTACAAAAAAATTATTTGAACTGGAGATTAGAAGGTTTAGCATTGGGCATCTCAAAGAAGGGGGCATGCCTTTTCTTCATCTCAAGAGAAAGGCATGAAAAGAGGCTGAACTATAGAAACTTACAATTTGAAGGGAGGTGTCATTCACTTAATAAACCAACCAACAGATTAGTCAAATGAGCAATTCCTATGAAGTGTAATAAAACAAAAATTATTTGCTGTTTTATGTTGGGAGAGGATAATATTTGGTGATCACTTATTTTAAAAAACAATTTGGAGTGGGGTTTTCAAATGACTGTTAACCCAATGCCACAGTAAAATATGAGAGACAGGCATCTAAAATGAGGAAGATTAATGATTCCTGCATGTCATGGAAGAACAATAATTTTTTTCAATTCATATAAGTGGAATTTATCATAACCATCTCTGAAGATGATATGATTCACCCACTTACAAAAGGACTATCTATTTCAATGCTTCTTGAAGAGGTGATTTTTCACTTTTCACTTCTACTAACATAAGAATGCCAAGCTTTCAGGCAGAAAATTTTAACCCTAGAGAAGTGTATGGGAAAACTCAGCTGTGGAGCCAGGTATAAGCATAAATTAAAAAACAAAACAAATGAGAATTGCTCATCAGTTCAGGATCTGGAGCTAACGGAGTTTGGAAAGGTGGGTGGGGGAAAGGAAGCAGTCAAAGTTTCAAAAGGGAAATGTTTCCCAGTATGTTCCTAAATAGATCCACTCTGTACCCAAGTTCAAGCCTTTACAAACTGAGGTTATAACACTATTGTTTCCAAGCACTAAGCCTTAGTAACCCCCCCCCCCAACCTCCCAGCAGAAAAAGAAAACAACAGCAAAAAAGGAGAGAAAATGAAATGCTCTGTGTCCAGCGAGTTTGAGTGCAACCTTCCCCGTCACCGCTAGTTGTCACTTGGCTCCCAGACGGGAAAGCTGAGGTTTTCGGCACTGCGGTTAGGGAGAATGCAGTCCTAATTAAACTGAGTAACTCCTAAAGCTTCCCCTTAAAGTCCTCAGCCGAGTGAAAGCCAACATGCAGTGGGGCTGGGGACCAATGGTGGGGGGTGTAGCAGGCAGAAGGACAAACAAACGGCAGGAAACCGGTAAACAGCTGTCAGAACAGCGACTGTCTCAGACCTCCACGCACAAGCCAGACACCCTGCGGGGTGGAGGGTGGGGGGGGGGTGCGGGGGGCGGGAGGGGGGAGAAAGGAGACGGGGGGATGGAAGGACCCGATTGCAGCGGAATACAGCACCCCTCTTCCCCAAAATGATGGGACCACGGACAGAGGCAGCCTCCGTACTCCTTCCCCCCATTTACATCAGAGCGATGTGGTCAGTAGAAAATTGCATACCTGAAGAATACAATGGTCTCCCAAAGGTAGAGTCGAAGAGTATTGAAGCTGTACATTTTTCAGGTCCTTGTGCTTTGTAGTCCACGAGTTATGGGGGCAAAAATGTTTCAAATTGGCACTTACAAAACCAGAAAGCGCTATTGAAAAAAATAATCCAGATGTTAAGGGGAGGCGGGGAACAGGGGCGCGGGGGGAGAGCCCAGGGGAAATGAGCGAGGGGCTGTAGATACCACGGACAGCGGCGGCTGCGAAGCGTTTCAGCACCACGGAGAGCGTCCAGCCCTGCTTTTCAGGAGCGCGAAGAGTATTGCTGTTTGTTAAACTCCAGCGTGTCTGTTGGCTCCCTGCGGCGCTGGGGAGGCACGTTTGGGGGTGGGTATATTTCCTTTTTTTTTTTTTTTTTTTTTACCGCTGTTTTTCTGTTTAAACGGCCAGCTCCATGCAAGGAAAAAAATCTTCCGTGGAGATCAGAGCGCTGGTCTCGGACCGTTGGATTGGGCGAGCATCTTGGGTAAAGAGAACAGAGCTTATGGCTCTGGGCCGGCCTAAGGCTGTTAGGGGCGAGGGGAAAGCTGTTGACGGCGCTGCCTTCAGTTAAATCTCGGAGAGTGTGCCAGGCTGGCGCATCGCAATCCAGTCTTGGAATCTCGTTCCCCTGCCTCGGCGCTGGTCTGCTCTCGCCTTGAGATTCCTGTTTCCTGGTCCCCGCCGAATAAGTTATGATCACTGCAGAAAAGGTGTCCCATTGCTCGGGGCCGCAGGCGTCAGAGAGCCCAGGGCAAGTTTCAGGGGCTACTGGTGTCCATGGCTACCCCGTGGGGCTCAGGAGCCCAACGCCTCAGATGCATCTCGGTTTTCTGAGCTCGCCCATCTTCCCTTGGTCAAGACTCCTTCAGATCTTCAGACTTTCTTACTGCATTAATTTAACAAACTGGAGGCGTGGGGCATGGGAGGGGTGATAGCCGATGGGAGGGGGCTGAGAGAAAAAAAAAGGGGGGAAAACTCCTTAGTATCTTCAAACCCTCCCACTCGAGGTGTTCATTGGCCCGCGGCTACGAAAACCAGATCTTCTCCCGGTATTGGGCCAATAGCCTTTTAGACTCTGGGTTGAATTTAACGCTTAGAGTGCTGGATGAGATCTGCGCAATCCCCTTCCCACATCCCTAGGCTTCTTTCCGTGTAAGCGGTGGGGTGAGAAGGGTTATGGAATTAATCTCTCGAGGTCTCTCAATGGTTGCCTTGATTTTTAAAGAATGCAGTTGTATATGAGTAAAACAGACAGTTCCTAGTTCAGACATGCTCTGGGTTCAATTGATCATTTTAAAAGGGAAGAGTTGAACCAGATGCCTGATTTTCTTTTTAAAAGCTCTGAAGTTATAATATTTGGCCTCAGAAAGAAAGGAGAACTATCCAAAAAGAAGTCTGATGGATAAAGACCCCCTCCAGGGTCACCGCAGCAGGGAAGTACCGGAGAAATTCTTTGAGCAGTTTCCAGGGTTGAGTGGGAAGTGCTGTGGCTGGCATCCTTTTGGGAGAGAAGAAAAACACCTTATTGGAGATGGACAGGATACAGTTTTATTTGCCTTTTATGTGCTGGGGAAACTGAGCCTCACAAAGCTGTGGCTTGCTCCAAATTGATGGCAGAGCCAAGTTGTACACACAGGGATTGTGCTATGACTCATATTCCATGTTTTTCCTTCCTCTGTTTTCCCACCTTATTTGAATCTTAGAAACCAGCTATACGTTTCACTCTAAAGCCCATCTGGGTAGGTGGAGTTAATCAGATTTTCTCCAAGCTATGGGACTATAGGATAAATACTCTAAAGGATTTTCTGGTTGATTTGAACTCACTGAGACTTTGGGGACTCTCCCTCCCAAGGCTACCGAGAGAGGACAACCCCTACTTCTTACCCAATAATGTTAAAAACTCCTTTGAAGTGTTTGGAGGCTGGTTCTCTCAAGAATACTCATCAGCTCAGCTCCCTCCAAGTTGAGGTCTTCTCCCAAGCAAAGAAATCTGGAAAGTCTTGTTTACCAGCCTCCTACCAGCAGGATTTCCCCTTCCTTCCCCCTGCACTACGATAGCACACCCCACACTATTGGTTATTTTGGTCTCCCACAATCTAGAATTTCCATGATATTCTGCATAGTGACTGAAAAGGAAATTTTGTTTTGAAGGTGCATATTAATATGAGTTGGATACAAACTTAAATATAATATATAATATATATATTTTTATATATGTAATCAGGAGCTAACCTTTATTAGCATGGTTTCTATGTGTCAGGCACTATTGTGAATTCACATAATCTTATTTACTTTTCACAGTCATACCTTGAGGTAAATATCTTTGTATATGTGTTTGTGTACATTTGTGAGTATGCTTGGGCAAAGCTGGCTTGTAAGTTACTGTGTATATAAATATGTTTATGATTTGTATTCTGCCTAGTTCTGAAGTGATTTTGATGTGCATATGTGTATTTGTACATTTAATCTTGTAAATGGGTCTTTCTCCACATACACATAGATGTATATGTATCTTTGTGTGTCACTGTGGTGATCCTAGAAGTACTGAAGCAAGCTGTAAGCTGGCAATTTTGTCCTGGTCCCTCATCTGACTAGAGAATACCTGCATAGCCAGGTGTGATGCAGTATGTGGAAATTTGTCTTTCTTTTCCTTCAAGGGGTGCTGTGTGTGTGTTGCTGTTTGTGAGTGTGAGTGACCTGTGCAGGAGGTGAGAGTAATTATTACCTGGGGTGTTGCAGGGGGACCTGTTTGTTAATAGACTTCAGTTTACTATAAGGCTGATACTTTCATTTAATCATCACACATGAACTGAGCATGTACCAAGTATTGGGTATATGACAGCATATAAGACAAACAGTACAGTATATACTGATAGCATATAAAATAAACAGCATATAAGATAAACTTCTGGAACATGCACTTTCTTCAGAAGTTCAGTGGGAAGAGTCCCTGTCAGTGAATCTACACTTTTTACCCTATGCATGATATATTTATGTCTGTACAGATCTTTTTGTTCTTGTGTAGGTCACTATTGAAAATAACTGTGGACTTGGTGGTCAGGGATTTATGTCCTTATATTATCTCTGCCTCAAAAAGACTGGATATGTTGGATAAATGACTAAACTTCTCTAGGCCTAAGTGAAATGAGGGTAGTAATTCCACTTTTCTCACTGCAAATAACTGCATAGAATAAATATTTAAGTCTAACCTTATTTTAACTCACCCTGCTATGAAACAAAAATCTTCAAGGAATGGAAGAGATTGGCTTCAGTGAATGGTTTATTTCTATTGGCAACTTTTCCGTGTAGTCTGACTCCAGTGTAGTTCTAATACTTGACTGGTCTCTTATAGGTCCTAGTAGCCAGATCTGAATCCTACTAAAGTATGAGTAAATTTTGACACACAGTGAGACTTATTTTACTACTAGAAAAGATTCATTCTTTTGTTCATTCAACAAACACTTATTGAGCATTTACTATTCTTGGCACTGGGGATATAGCAGGGAACAAAACAAACCAAGAGCCCTATTCTAATGGTATACATCTTCTGTTGGAGGGAGACAGAAGATAAACAAGGAAATATATGACGAGTTAGGCAATGATAAGGATTAAAAAGAAAAAGGCAGGGCAGAGAGTGGTGTGGAGGTGCTGTTTTATGTAAGGTGATCAGATCAGAGAATGGCTCCTGAAAAGGCATTTATTTAATCGAAGGAAGTGAGGGAATGAGTCATGTGAACCTTGGGGAGCGAAGGAAAACTTTCTAGGCAGTGGGAAAAGCAAAGGCAAAAGCCCCGAGAAGGGAGTATATTTGGAGTGTACAAGAAACAGCATGGAGACCAGTGTGAGTGCAGGGAATAGTGATAGAAGAAGAGATTTGAGAGGTAACTGGGGACTAGACCAGGTACCACCTCCACGACATTGTAAGGATTTTGGGTTTTATTTTGAGTGAGACAGGAAGGTATTGGAGGGTCTTTAGGAGAACAACAATAAGAGCTGACTTAACATTTTAGCAAGATTAGTTTGGCTACTATGTTTAGAATAAAATTTCAGGAACAGCAGGAGCAAAATGAAAGCAGGAAGACTAGTTAGGAGCTACTGAAAAAGTCCATGTGAGAAATTCTTTAAGATAGTCTTGCTCAACTCTTTCATGTACAGAAGAGGAAAATTATATACAGAGAGGTTAATAAACTTACCTCTAAGACTCGTAGCACAGCTGGGACAAGAACACAAGTACCCTAATTATAGCTAAAGGATGTCTCGACCATTTTTTATTTTGTTCCAACTAAGATAAAGGTCATGCAGAAAGAAGGTCAGGAAAATCTATGAGGGAAGAGACTTTACCTGTTTTTGTTACTGATACATATCACATATTAGTATCAGATACTAAGTAATAAAGTGTCTGGCACATAGGAGGGGCTCAGTAAATATTTACAGCAAGGATGAATGAGTGAATAAAAAAGGATGAAAAGATTCAGGCAGAGGACAGGAATATAGAAGAAAGAGTGTAAGGAATGTTTTTAATCAGGTGAGATTATGTTGTCCTGGGCCAGCTAATGTAATTAATATAATGCCAAGCCTCTGTCCATAATGGCATTCACAGAGGACAGTGCTGTAAGTTTCAACACTGTTTTGACAGGCTTGAATAATACTTTGCAAAGAGAGAGAGATATTTGGAACAACTGAGCAGCTTGCCTAATTGTGTTGTAGTATGATGAATAAGGGCCTGAAAATGGGACTGTGGAAGAGTCTTTTCTCCAAAGAATTAGAGACTTTCTCCCAGCTGTTTCTAATCCTAATCCAGAATGCTCTTGTTACTACTTCTTTTTTTTTTTTTTTGCAAAGCAATTATCTGTTCTTTGTCCTTTAAAAAACAGATCCCAGAACTACTTGGGAAATCTCGGTGATACCAGAATAATTTTTAATTGTAAAGAATAGATGCATAAAATACTAAGATACCTTTCCTCAAATTTTACTTGCCACTCAGTGTCCTGGAAAGGGGAATGACTGGATTAAGGTATCTCAACAAAATCAAATCTAGATCGGACGACTATCTTCCAGGTCATGGTTTCCTACCCCTTTTCTGTGAGACTAAAATAAAAGAAGAGGAAGATCTGTGATAAAGAAATGCTTCACATCAAAGCTGACCTGCCCAGAGACCAGAGACTCCCCTGTTTTCTTTTGTAGCCAAGTCTATACTTCTAATTAGTGCTCTAACAGCTTGCTGTTCATAAGAGACTTTTTGTGATCTGCTTGTGCTTCATTTCCATCTTTCTCTCAAACTACCTCTGCCTCTTTTTTCTCATCTGCCCTTACCTGTTATTTCATATTTATTCAGGCAGTTTTCCTTCCTTCCTTCCTTCCTTCCTTCCTTCCTTCCTTCCTTCCTTCCTTCCTTCCTTCCTTCCTCTCTCCCTCCCTCCCTCCCTTTCTTTTTTCTTTCTCTTTCTTTCTTTTTCTTTCTTCCCCCTTCCCTTTCCTTCCCCTCCCCTCCCCTCTTTTCTCATCTCTTTGTCTGCCCTCCCATCCCCTCCCCTCCCCTCCCCTCCCCTCCCCTCCCCTCCCCTCCCTTCCCTTCCCTTCCTCTCCCCTCCCTTCCCTTCCCTTCTCTTTCTTTCATGGAGTTTCACTTTTGTTGCCCAGGAGAGATGGGATTTCACCATGTTGGCCAGGCTGGTCTCGACTTCCTGACCTCAGGTGATCCAGCCGCCAAAGTGCTGGGATTGCAGACATGAGCCATTGTGTCCGTTTTTCTAATTGTGTCTCTCATCTACTACTGTGTCCGCAGAGACTTTTGGGATTAAGAAGGCTTGGCATAGGATACTTTTACTGAGTTTACTCATTCACGCAAAGCTTTGCTCATCTATTTAAAAAAACACATATATCTTGAACACTGGTTGTATGTCTGACACTGTGTGAGGTTTTAAATGTCTAAGTAAAGATTTGTTCATTC